TATTATAATCAGATATTTTCATGTTTTATAATTATTTTCTTATATTACTATTATATTATATTGAATTTTAGAAGTGCAATTTTCTGTTTCGATTTTTTTTTATATATTAATTACAGTGTATTTAATCCAAAAGTTTTTTTAATAAAAATTTATTTTTAACAAATAACGGAAATAAGATTTGTAAAATGTCTTTTTTTATAATAAATTTTAATTTATATACATCTATAATATTTTTTTTAAATACATTTTGTGTTTATCTTGATTATTTCATTGTTATCGAAGAAATCTTTTAATAAATAAAAGTATGGGATAAATATATTTGAAAACTATGGGATAAAAAAGTAGTATTAATCATTTTTTATTATTATTTAAAAAATTGAAATACTGGAACAATTTAAAATTAATAAGATAAATTCAAAGATTGAAAATCATGGAGAATTATATTTATTGATTAAAATTAAAAAACAAATTAATTACTAAAAAAATTTTTTATTCTTTAAAATCTATTGGAATTAAAAATAATATAGAGATGATTGTTGATATGTCAATAAACAATAAACATTTTTTCAAAATATGTTTATATAAACATTGAAAATAAAAGAAACGAAACAAAAGCTATAAAACAAAAGTTAAGAAACTTTTATCAAATTATATATCACTTTTATCAAAAATAATGATATGTGAATGACTGTAATTTTTATTATATCTTAATAAAAATGTTGGATGATAAAATTCTTGTAATGTTTTGATAATTGCATGTGTGTAATATTTTTAATTATTATTAATTTTAAATGATATTATTAATTAAACATAAAATTAATTGTTTCTTCTTGGTTTGATTCCAAATGCTTTTTTCATAATTTTTTACATGTCAATATATTTTCATGGTAAAAAAAAAAGATTTTTCAAGTATCATCCAATATAATTCCACAAATATTGAATTGATTTGATCACTTACATTCACATTTTATTTTACAAAAAAAAAATTAATTTAAAATAATAAATAAAAATAATAAATTAATAAAATAGCAAGTAATTACCTAATTAATATAAAACAATATTTCAGACATTATAAAGTGAAATCCACTTTGTTAATATTTTTTTGTTGATATAAAAAAAATAGCATATAATTTTATACAATAACCCAATGATTTTATTCATTCTTTATTTTGAGGAAGAATCAGAAAGATTGATTGGAATTTGTTAAGAAGTAATAATAATTGTTATTGAATGGTCAAGTTTCTACAGAAAATAAAATTCAGTTTATTTGAGAAGAATAACATATGACGTTTTGCTGAACAATAATTTCACTTTACGTAGTTGAAAAGATATTAAAATCTAATAATATAGGATTGCTGTTTCTCAAATAATATTACATGTTTCTCAATGTTTATTAAAATAATAATCCTAATATACTAATACGAGTTAAAAAACTATAGATAAATGTTTTACAAAATCATATATTATTATCTTTTTTTAATGAAAAATGGTTATTTTCATCAAAATGGTTATTTTAATAATAATTTAAAACATTATTTTAAATTAATTTAAATATTTCTTCTAAAATATAAAGAAATTCATCAATAATTAATTTGTTTCTTATTGTTATATTTGTTTCATTCATAAATATATAAATATTCAAATAAGTAGAAAATATAACATTTTTATTCGTATAATATTAAATTTACAATGAAAATTTTTTGAAGCTGTATAATTTTAAAAATTTAAATCTGTATTATATTCCATAATAGAACATATATCATGAAGCAATTTCACTGTAAATAAATATTAAAATATGATAAAATATGAATTTTATAATAATAAAAAAATAATAAATTAATTATTTAAAAACATTTAAAAACAGAATTTATTATTTCATTTTTTCATAAAAATGTTTTTTTTTTATAATTTTTGTCATTATGATAAGAATTTTAAATTCTAAAAATCTTTCGGTGATTTCTAAAGAATTAAATTATATATTTAACAGATAAACCTTGGTTAATAAATTCTTAATATTTTTGTATATATAGATTGATAATGATGTGGCGCGGTTTAGCCGAGCCAACGGAAGAGGATAGACGTACATACGGATGAAGCACAAGAAAGGTAACCCGGACGAGGAGGAGGCGGAAGAAGAAGAAGGAGACGAAGAAGGAGAAAAAGAAGATAACGAAAGAGAAGGATATAGACGAAACAAGAAAAAAAGAAAAAGAAGAGAAGGAAATTCACGTAGAAAAACAGAAAAAATTGTATCTATAACCGATCTATCGGCGTGATCATCATCGATATATTTGATGCCAAGTGAAAAAAGATTTGAAGACGACTCAACACTGGCGGACGGGGAACGTAATGGAAGCACCGTGGTTACGGCCCGGTGCTATCGTCGTCGTCGTCGTGCACGGTGCCCTACATCGGCACCGACCAGGGTTTCGTGTTCGAGGGTGGCGGCACGACGACGTTGCAGCGGGCTGGTGCAACTAGTACATCGGTCGCTAGTTGCACCGGTAGCGGAGGAGGAATCCTTGGAGGAGTCGGTATCGGGTCAAACATAGTAGTAGGATCAGGGATTAATATGGGGGGAAATGTAACAGTAGGAGGAGTTACCGTTGTCGGTGGAGTGAAAAGTGGAGGAGGAGGCGGTGGAACAAACAAGGAAGTTCGATATGCTCCATTCTCGTCATCCGTAGGACTGACGGGTTCCGTAGCACCGGTGAACCTGACGCCGCCACCTCTACCACCGCCTCCGCCACCGCCGCCGCTGCCGCCGCCGCCACCGCCGCCGCCCCTGCCGCTGCAGATGCAGCAGCAACGTGCCTATTCGAGGTCGATGACGTCCCTACCGCCTGAGCCATTTATGATTATGAGGTCGAAGGCTCTTAACCGACGAGTCTCGATCAACGTCGGTGGTGTTAAACACGAAGTTCTATGGCGTACTCTTGAAAGGCTACCCCATACACGTCTAGGCCGTTTGAAGGACTGCAACACGCACGAGGCGATTACTGAACTATGCGATGATTATTCTCTTATCGACAACGAGTATTTCTTCGATCGACATCCGAAATCTTTTAGTTCAATTTTGAATTTCTATCGCACCGGAAAACTACATCTTGTCGATGAGATGTGCGTATTGGCGTTTAGTGATGATCTCGAGTATTGGGGTGTCGATGAATTATATCTTGAAAGTTGTTGCCAACATAAATATCATCAGAGGAAAGAACATGTACATGAAGAAATGCGCAAAGAGGCAGAATCGCTCAGGCAAAGAGAAGAAGAAGAATTTGGCGAAGGACAATGTGCGCAATATCAGAAATGGTTGTGGGATCTGCTGGAGAAACCAACTACGTCCATCGCTGCAAGGGTAAGTGATATTATTAATGATCAAATATGTTCTTATTATATAAAGCTTATTAATAATTATTGAATAATAAGATGGAATGATAATTGTGTGTGCATTGATTTGGAGAAATTTTCAAAATGAAAACGGAGAAAAATTGGAAAGGTATTTCAAAATCGCATTCTGAATCAAAAGGAATTTGAATTTAAACTAAAAGAATATATATTATATTATATGTATTGGTATTATAATAATACCAGAATATATCATTAATAAATTCTTAATTTTGATTATTGTTGATTGTTTAAGTACTATTATTATATGGATCTAATTTTAATAAAATATTTAAAATTTTCTATAATTCTTCTTTTTTTAAAATTTTTGATAAAATCAATTCGAAAAAATCAATTTTTCTCCATATTTTAAATTAAATATATCGTTAAAGAAATAACAATTTTGTAATCTTACTCTTTTCTTTTCAGTTTATTGACTTTAGATGATCTAGATGATTTTTGTTATAATTTTGTTATAATTTAACAAAATAATACAAGATTAAAAATAATTTCAATACAATTATAAATAATTGTTTATTTTAAATGATAATGTTGAAAAATTTAATTTATTAATAATTTATTGAAGATTCATTAATATTTTGTTATTACACGAGAATGATGTTAAGTTTTGTTCACTAATTTATTTACACTCTCTCCACATTTACAGTTTGTGCTGGAACCATTATTTGAAGAAAGGTACTATTAAATTGATAGTAGAACATCAATTCGATGTAGTTCTCACATAGACGAAAGTAGTACAAACATTTGCGACATATGTGATTTTGTAATCTTCATGTTAACATTATTATAGTAGAATGATAATTAAAATAGTACATATTATATTCTTATTTATTCTTATTATATATATATATACATATTAATCGATCGAATTTGGATTCTGGCTCAGACTTTAATGACTATCAATAATTATATTTATTTTTCACGTGGAAAGAGTTCTATCACCGATTTTTAGAATATTTAATAGATTTTTTTCTTTTTTATAAATCCTTATATATAGATAGATATTTGAAAATTTTTAAATTATTTTCTTTTAAAATTTTTCACATGATTTAAATGCAAATCATATTATTTGACTATGCGTTTGTCATTATATATGTTGCTATATTTATAGAACCATAAGAATAGTTTTGATTTATATTTTTTTTCAATTACAACTTTATTTCTTTTGAACATATTCTTTATTTATCTTTATAATACATAAAAAAATAAATTTTAGAATATAAACCATGTATTTTATAAATAATATTAAATTTAAGTTTCAGAATAATAATTGATATAAAAACATTCGAGATAAATTAAAAAATTAATTTGTTAATATTTAAAAAAATATAATAATTAATTATTATTTACAATATAACATTTAATAAATATTTAATTATTATATTGTAACAAATATTTATTTATATTATTTAGATTTTGAAATTTATTTTTTTATTAATAAAAAAATAAAAATTAAAAAAAATATGTTGAAAATGTAGATTTATGTACAAAATGTTAATATATTCATGGAATATTTTTGGAGGATCTTTATCAATTGAAATTAATTTATAAAATTATAAGCAATTGAAATTTGAAATTGAAATGAGATATAGAATAAGGCAAATACCGTGTTTTATTTAACAAAAATTTAAATTGTTCAATAAGTATATCTTAATTGAAATTTTTGAATATTAACTTTTGTATTTGTTTTGATTTCTTGTTTAATTTGATTCTACAAAATATTTCACGAATATATTGATACTCTGAAAGTATATGTATTTAGATTTTTATAATAGTATTATAACAATTTTTAATTTTAACAATAATCAAATAAAATAATTTACATTTGAATTACTTACAAAATTATTAAATTATACATTTAAAATTTTTTAAGTCTGTCTTGATACTACCGTGCATGTGTCTTAAAAAAGTTAATTAAAATCAGCGATTGAAAATTATAATTCTTCCTTTTTTGTTAATATAACAAATACAATATAAAAGGAAACAATGAAAAAATACTTCTAAATCATTATTTTTATGAAACAAGTAAAAATTTACTAAGAAAAATAAAAATTTTTGCATGTCCTGTTTTTCATAACGATTTCAATCTATATATTTCCTTTCAATCTATATATTGTATACATGATATATTTGCACATATTTACAGATAATGATAAAGTTTTATTATTGAATATCTAAAATTAATTAATCGGATTCACTTGCCAATGAAAAATATATGTAAATCTAATTGATAAAAAATCAATTTTGTTTTTCTCATTCTCAAAAACCGATCGAAATTTGATTGGAACATTATTCATTTAATTATTAAATACTTAATTAGATAAATCTTTCCATCTTGATATAATGATATCGATGCATTTGTTATTAATAAAATTTTATTTGATTGCTAATAAAATATATGTATATGTGTATATGTATAAATTATATTTATATATATGTACATAGAACTGTATATACACATACATACATATATATATCTAAACATAAATAATATAAGATGTAAATATAAAATAGAAAAGAATCAATATAATATATGCAATATATTATATCGAAGATTTAATTAATTTTTCAAGCTTCATTATGTCGATGTATGTAATATGTATTTTATTTCTAGGTGGTGTTAACAACGTCATTATTAATCTTATTTATTATATAATTTAACTTTTTTTTAGTACTTATTTTTAAAAAATATTTCATGTTCTAAAATAATAATCATTTTGACCCTTCGATAATGGGAGTGTAAAATACGCGATTACCAGGTATCACGTAGATTCTTTCTCGACACCGCTCCCTGTGAGATGTTATAGTAATTTCGTTACCAGCGAATTCAATTCGATATATACACATTAAAAAAAATATATATATATGTTTACATATATATTTATTATATGTAGATATATAATATATATGTATATTTATTTATTTTTAATTATTATTTTAAAAAAATATAATTGTCATAATTTTGCATAATCATTAAAATAAATGAAATGGATCAGCATTAATATAACGAATTTGACATTACTCGAAGAGAAATATATTTTATTATTTTTTAAATTATTTATAGTATTTTTTTAATACTAGAAATAATTTTATTTCTATATTTCCAATATTTATATAGATTTGTATAGATTTGTATAGACACAGGAGATAGATTAAGTAGAATTAGAAAAAGAATATCTTATAAGTTATTTAATATATAAATTGAATTTTAGATTATACAGGTATGTATATTATATAGATACATTACATAGTATATATATTTCTTTTCGTGTACATGTTGAATTCGGAATAATAAAACTATTATAACAATAATCATACAAAAAAAATCTGTAAGGTATTTAGGCAATTAAAAATTTTTTTTACGAATATATTATTCATATTAATACTTGCCATACACACCACAAACAATACACATTGCACACACTGTTGCTCCAAAATGAAATAGTATTATGCGGGGTTCTAAAATAGCACCTGTATCCTTCACTAATTCCAATATCACTGAGATTTTTCTTATCACATTAATGTAAGATAATATCTTAAAAACCTCTCTCTCTCTC